TTCCAATACGGCAACATCAAATGATCTATAGCAAGTGGTATCCCGTAAGGAGCATTGAATCCGCCATCGGGGGCCACGATTCGGCATTCGGAGTATCGGCTATCTAGATAATCTCCAAGCATTAGATAAAATCGAGCGCGATCTACAACAGACCTCAATAAATCGAGCATCGTCATGCGATCTACGGCAAGACGGCTTCGACATGGGACCACACGACCACACGAACACACAAGCATTCAAGCCAATTCATATCTTTTCAATTAGCCAATGCAAACATGAATTGTGCTCGAATTAATGCCACATAACCAATTTCTCGTGACCACATGTGCCAACAGTCACTCAATTTTGTAAATCATCATTTCGAAACACGCTTTTCATTCTCAAGCCTCAAATTCCTTTCTCGAACATAATTATAAAATAATTTATTTTTAAAGATTCAAAATATTTTCTCGAATCATAATCATTCAAATCATTTGTCCATATACGCCAACTTATACGGTGAAATCCAACATTGGTATTACAATCCAAGCATAAAACAATCACAATTCGGTACTAAAAATTATTTGAAAATATGAATATTTGATTTTCGGAATTTGAATATTTTATTAATAAATAATTTTTGTAAGAATAAAATATTATTATTTAATTTCGAAAATTAATTTATTTAATAAAATAAATATCAATAATAAATTAATAGATAACTTATCAGTCAAAATAGCGATAACTTATCGCGAACACAACAATAGCCTATCACACAAATAATCATAGCTTATTGAACATACCGATAACCTATCGCTAAAATTTACCAAGAATTTATCATTTAAACACCGATAACCTATCACCACATCCAATGATAACTTATTATCTCTTGATAACTTATCATCAACAATTATCTAATAATCTAACGTAACCTATCACCTAATCCCACTTAACTAGTCAATAAATTAATCTAAACTAACCGAAGCAAGTTTAACACCCTAAACACGGGATTAGGGGTTAACTTACTCATCTAACTACTGCGATTACACGAGGACGGCGGCGGCGGCGCGGTTATTTGCGGTGGTTTCCGGTTCAAGCTCGGCGGGAGGCGACCGGCGGCAAACGAGCGTGACAAAGAGAGCGGCTGCCAGGGGCTGTTCGGTGGCTATTTGGGGTTGAGTCAGGGATGGGATGGTGGCTGGTGATGGCGTCTTGCTGGCTAAAATGGCGGCGGCAAGTGGCGGAGGCGGATGGCAGATGAACCGGCGAGAGGCGCAACTCGCCTTGGCTGGAATAGCTAGCGACGGGCTGTTCCGGGGCAGCAGAGGCGGTGCTGCGTGGCCAGGGGAAGAGTAGGGGTGGCGGTGGGGTGACGGGGTGGAGCGGTCCTCGGCGATGGCTGGTTCTGCGAGGAAAAAGGCTGGTCGCTGGCTGAAAATAAGAAGCATAACAAGAAGCAAAAGCGAAGAAGAAGCAGCAGCAGCGAAGTAGGAGTAGAAGCGGCGAGGAAGGACGGTGCACGGTGGTGGTTGGTCCAGAACGCTGGTCCAGTCGGCGGTGGCAGCAAGAAGAAACAGAACGAGGAAGCAAAAGTAGAAGCATGAAGCAGCAGCAACAACGGTGATGCAGAAGCAGAAGTAGCAGCGGTAAAGCAGAAGCAGAAGGAGCAGCGGTGAAGCAAAAGTAGCAGCAGCGAAGGAAAAGTCAAGAAGAATAGGAAAAGAAGAAGAAAAGGAAGAAAAAGAAGAAGAGAAGAGAGAGAGAAAGGAGTTGGTGGAGTCGGTGGAGGGTGCAGCAGAAAATGGGGGAGTCAGCGGCGGAAGTCAGCCGGAGGAGGGAGGGGAGAGAGAGGGAGAGAGAGAAAGGGGAGGGTTGGGTTCATCATTACCCAAAAAATAAAGATCTTCCAAATTTCCTTTTTGAAATTTTCTTAAATTTTGTCCCCCAAAATCCATTTTGTCCTCGACCCAAGTACCGAATTACAGGCCAACTCATTCTTATGAGGTCTTGATGGCTGGGCCCCTCGGCCGCGAGGTCCAACAGGCTTTGCTCGGTTCACTTCCGTTTCTCGTGTCGAATTCCGAATCTTCAATCCTTTTCCGAAATTGAAATTTTATACGGAAAACTCGTAAAATTATGAGACGACATCCTAAGGTTCGAGTGTGAAATTCTTGAGCATTCGACACTCAATATCAGATCATAATTCATGGCCGAAATCCATCAATCCCAACTATAGTTCATCTCGAACTAACGAGTGGTTGTTAGAAATAAATTATTCGATAGCCTTTTCCATTTGATTAGTATTCCCTGAGTGATTAGGTCAGGGCAAGAAATAACTAATAGAGCGTCGACGAAATCACCATATGATAAATCACCAAATTGGGTTGAATTTTTAGGATATAACAACCAACCAATCACCATTTCGTCCCCAGTTTAGCCCTCAAGCCGCGCTGAACAGCCGTCCATAGCACGCTGGTTTCTGCTGGAATGCTAGCTTCGTTGCTCGCCGAACACGTCCGCTGCTGCAGCTGCTGGTCCACCACTGTCCGGCCACCTAGCTAACACCACAAGCCGCCATTTCACACTAGGAACAGCCCCGAGCAGCCTCCGAATAGCCCCACAGCAGCCGCTGCCTTAGCCACGCTCATTTGCCGCCGTTCGTCGAGCCCAAATAGGAAACCACCGTGGACAGTCGCGTCGTCGCCGTTGTTCTCGCATAATCGCCGTAGTTAGACGAGTAAGTTAACCCCTAATCCCGTGTTTAGGTGTTAAACTTGCTTATGGTAGTTTAATTTAGTTTTAGATTAAGTTAATGGTTTTACAAATTATGGTCTCTCATTGAAAAAAAAAAGAAGAAAGTTATACTTTGCTACCTTCTTCATAATGGCAAGTATAGAAACCTAGACAATCTCACTTCAATTCGAAACACAAACAGTCCAATTCATTATGGGTTCAATCACAAGAAAGTGTACAAAACAAAGAAAAGTGCCACAAAAAGCAGAGACCCTAGACCAAACCCATCACCCCCACCATCATAGCTAGAGATACTGCTGTGATACAGTTTAGAGCTGCCAACGTATGTTGGGAAGTTGAGAGAGGGAAAGAAGGTGGTATGAAAAAACTTCCAATTTTTTAATGCTATGATTACTCTCGCGTTATGTATAATCACTACTTTTGGAGATTGAATTAATTGCCATATCAATTATATTTAACACAAGTATGCCAAGAGCACTCACTTTAAAATGACCCCAAAAACGTATATTATACGTTTGGCTAGAGTTACTATTGTTATCAAGGGAGGAAGTCCCTTCAATGTCACATCAATTTTCCTATATGAAAACATTTTCGATTTCATGTTCGGATTGTAGAAAATTCCTGGACAATTTTACTTCTGACATCGTTGCAGTTCATTCTCGTGTGAAGCACATTCACCGGCGTCGATTTTCACCAGAGAGACTTCCAGGACTTCCTCTTGATCGAAGAAAGAGCAAACCCAACACTACAAAAAAAGCCGGGTTTAGCGACGGAAAAAAATTGGTCGCTAATAGGCCGTCGCAAAATTTTGCCACGGAAAATTTCAATTTTCGTGGCTAATTTGCGACGAAAAAAATTGTCAAGAAAATTCGTCGCTAATTATTCGTATTAATTTGCAACGAAAAATAATTCGTCGCTAATTATTCGTGGCAAAATTCGTGGCTAATTTGCGACGAAATATATTCGTGGCAAAATTGTGGCTAATTTGCCATGAACATTATTCGCGGCAAACTTCCGTCTTCTAATTTGCCACGAACATTATTCGTGCACGCAAAATTCGTCGCTAATTACTCGTGGGCAAACTTCGCTAAATATTCGTGGGCAAAATTCGTCGGTAATTTGCCACTAGATCTATTCGTGGCAAAAGTCGTCGCTATTATTTTGATTATTTTTTTTGTTGGTCGCGAAATTGCGACGAAATATTTCGTGGCAAAAATCGTTGCTAATTATCCGTGGCAAAATTTCTCGCATTTCGTGGCAAAATTCGTGGCTAATTTGCCAAAAAAATTTCATTTTTTTGCGACGAATTTATTCGTGGCAAAAGTCGTGGCTAATTTGCCACAATTTTTTTTTTTCAATTATTTGCGACGAACTTATTCGTGGCGAAATTGTGGTAATTTGCCACGAACACATTTAGTGGCAAAATTGTGGCTAATTTGCCACAAACAAAATTCGTGGCTAATTTGGGACCATATTTTTTTTTTGTCGGTTTTTTGCGACTTAACTTATTCGTTGCAAAATTCGTGGCTAATTTGCCAAAAAAAATTTTTGGTCATTATTTTGCTACGAAAATTTTGACTTTTGCGACAAACATTATTCGAAAACGAATTTGGCGACGAATTTTAATGAATAATTTAGGGACGAATGTTGTTTAGGGACGATTTCGATTTGAAATCTAATTAACATTGATAGAAAATCACAATCAAGACAAGAACAAACCCCAAAAAGAAAGAAATGAAACAAAGTTCTAAATTAGCCGGTTCACAAACCTTGTGGCAAACCGTTGATCTTGCCAAGAAGTTCTTTCACGTTGTCTATAGTGTTCTCCAAGAATCGAAGTCCCGTCCATTCAGCGCAAACATCACAATATCAAACTCCTAACCCCCGGTAATTTTTTCACATCTATTCAACAGCAGAAGCATAAAGATATAAGTACCTCTTGGAAATTTAAACTAGCAAGGATCATCATCATCATCAGCATCATCATCAGGAATCTCATTATCATCATCATTGTGGTCATCACCTACTGGATTAGTAGGAGGTACAGGAGGAACATCATCAACTTCGAGGTTGAGGTGTCGCATGATCAATTGCAAACGTTGTTTCACTCATATCATTTCTTCGTCCTTCTGTACAAGTAATTGTCTCAGGCGGTTCAATGCTTGGTCCTGTCGCTCCTCGTGTTGTGCCCTTAAAAAAGCCGCACCGAGGATGAAGTTGCAAAGAGCGCGTTCCGTACATCCTTGACAAGGATCCCATCCCAAATATTTGACCTCTTCTCATTCCACCCGATGCCTCCATCCATAATGCCATACTGTCAACCGATGACTCGGACGCAGCAACACCATCACCATCACCACTAGCAGCAGCCGTGGTCATTACAAGTTCATCATATTTGTCCTACATTAACAATATAGATAAAAATAAAAAAAAACTTAATATATATAAATACAAAATATAACCTTACATACCTTAATAGCTTTTGCTCGATTGCCAGTCCATGTCTTATCTTTTTTCTGAAAGGTGCGTTCAAATGTAGCCATAAATGTTGGTTCCGTCCCCAATTCATCTGCCTACAAAATATAGACATAATTACGACATAATTATTGATTTAACTTACAACATGATTAAAAGACTAACCATTCTTTTCTACGCTCCCCGATGTTGATAGAGCCCCAAAGATATGTGGCGCACCCTTCACTAGAACTAGAAGCTCGATTCTTCTTATTAATTTCACCGATTTGCTTATGCTTTTCAAGGTCCCAAGTTCTCATAATTTCCGTCCAATTGTCACCGTAATAAAATCCGGCTTTTCTTGCTTTCTCTTTGCTTTATTCATCACATTTTGCATGTGATCACCGGCTTTCTTCTTAAAAATTCTTTTAACTTCTTCTCTTCCGCTTCATCCCACCCGAACTTCCGCCGCAAGCAATCAATAGAAAAATAATTGTACACTCAGTATGCTAAATCGAACTTAGTTTGTGAGGAAATAGAAGGACAAAACTTACCTTGAACTCATTCCACCACAATTCCTTTACTTCTTTTGGAGCGTTGGTCCAACTACTATACTGCCCATCCAATAGTTATTGATTATTTTATTAAGTCTCCTCACAACATGCGTAGCATCCGTGAATCTGCAAACGGGTTATAACTTATTTCAACATACGTAGCATCCGTGAAGCATACGGACAATTCAGTTGACATCCATAATAATTCACATATACTTAACAAAAATGAAATACTTAAGAATCTCCAAATGGGGCTATCATGAATCGGGTATCTTCTTCATAATTCGAGTGTTGCGTTGAAGAAGAAGGTGGAACCGAAGCCGATGGAACTGAAGTAAATTCAGTTCGCATTTGAGGGTCGGAGGAAGGGCCAATGTGTCCATGTACTAGTTGAGGGTTAGATGAAGGGGCAGGGGCAGGGGCAGGGGAAATGGAAAGGGACGAGGACGAGGACGAGGAAGTGGAAAGGCCTGGTCTTCTTTGTGAAGCATCACCACGACGCATGTGACCTCCACGTTTATACTAAAAGTTGCAAGGTTAGACAAAAATGTAAAAAATTATGAACATGTATTAAGGACACATAATGACGTATGTCGTGAAGCTTACCATTTTGTTATTGAGAGCAAGAGAGAAACGTGGCCCCTGAAAAAAAGGAAGCTGTCCGGAAATGTCTACGAGCTAAATTTCTGGTCCTACAACTGTAAAAAAGGGAGAACTCATCTAGCTGGTCAGGGTCATCAAATTTTCAGTTAATTGCTGTAATTCGACTTGTTTTAAAATTTAATTGCATGCTTTGAAAGCCTTAGAACTTAATAAGTTACACTTTCACAACAAATTTTATGATGCAAGGAAATCAGTAAGTTCTGTTCAACAAATTTTAATAAGTTTTGATTGCATGTTTTATGGTGCACATATCCCTTTAAAATGAATATATCAACTTCAACAAGGAAATCAATAAGTTTTGAACAAGTAATTATAAGGCTTTACCCCGAAGGGAGCCATTCCAGAAAACCCAAATGTCACGGAAATAGTTTTACCCTAATGGCCAAAGCTTCAACCTATGCCAAAGAAGGTTTGGAAATAGTTTTCAAAACCCATCTAAACGACTCCGAAAAGAAAAAAAAAAAAACGCAAATGTCACGAAAAACACTATTCACCAGAATCGTTTTTTGCCAAAAAACCCATCTAAACGACTCCAAAAAGCCAAAAAACGACTTGCGACACGGCCATAGGCGGTGATTTTGGATCAGCGGGCCGTTTCCACTTGACCGACCAAATTTCAGCTCATTTCGACCACATTTCACCTCATTCCGACCAAATTTCAAATGAATTTCAACTAAATTTCAACCCAAATTTGACCAAATTTCAACCTAAATCCGACCAAATTTCAACTTAAATATGAGGAATTTGATTCTGTTTCGTGGGCGAAATAGATTGGGTCTGCTTTCGCCCACGAAACGTAATCAAATTCGTGGGGCGAAACAGAATGAATTCTCGCTTTCGCCCACGAACGTAACGAAGTGCGTACCCAACACGGGCGTAAGCACGTAGAGCGCCCACGAAACATAACCGTTTCGCCCACGAACGTAACGGCGTAAGTAGACCCAACACGTAAACCAGCCAACACGTAAGCGTAAGCACGTAAGCGTAAGAACATAAGCATAAGCGTATGTAGACCCAATCGTAGACCCAACACAAATATCAGAACAGAAGCATAAGCAGACGCAATCGCCTAGAAATAACGCCGAAAAGCAAACCCAAGCAAACGTACCTCTCGCTTCCCAACAGAAGGAGACCCAACACTCTCGGACGCCGCCGAAGAACCCAACAGAAGCAGACCGCGCGCTGGGTGTCCTCGCTTCCCAGCGTCCGCCGCCGAAGAACGCGGCAAAAATTCGTGGGATTTTTGTGGGATTTTTTCAGGAAATTCGTGGCAAAAATCCGTGGCAAATTTGCTACGGATTTTAGCCACGAATTTCGTAAAAAGCCCAAAATTATTCATGTTTGTGGGATTTTTTTCAGGAAATTCGTGGCAAAAATCCGTGGCAAATTTGCCACGGATTTTTGCCACGAATTTCGTAAAAAGCCCAAAATTATTCATGTTTTTGGGATTTTTTCAGGAAATTCGTGGCAAAAATCCGTGGCAAATCCATGGATTTTTGCCACGAATTTCGTGAAAAAATCCCAAAAACATGAATAATTTTGGGCTTTTACAAAATTCACAGATTTTTGCCACGAATTTCGTAAAAAGCCCGAAATTATTCATGTTTGTGGGATTTTTTCAGGAAATTCGTGGCAAAAATCCGTGGCAAATTTGCCATGAATTTCGTAAAAAGCCCAAAATTATTCATGTTTGTGGGATTTTTTTCAGGAAATTCGTGGCAAAAATCTGTGGCAAATTTGCCACGGATTTTAGCCACGAATTTCGTAAAAAGCCCAATATTATTCATGTTTGTGGGATTTTTTTTTGCCACGGATTTTTGCCACGAATTTCGTAAAAAAGCCGAAAATTATTCATGTTTGTGGATTTTTAAATTGTGGCTAAAAACTGTGGCAAATTTGCCACGGATTTTAGCCACGAATTTCGTAAAAAGCCCAAAATTATTCATGTTTGTGGGATTTTTTTCAAGAAATTCGTGGCAAAAATCCGTGGCAAATTTGCCACGGATTTTTGCCACGAATTTCATTTCTACTATCCCACACCCGCGTAATTCATTTTTTTTTCCAGACAATAACGTTTCATTAACAATAATAGCAATAATAATATTCAACAACAATTACAATAATAACAACAACAACAACAACAACAACAACAACAACTATACTAATAATTACGACAACAACAATAAACTTTTGTCATAATAATAATAATAATAATTACAACATAATTAGTAAAAAGTCTCAAAAATCTAAATCTTCATCTTCACCTTTGTCTTCATCTTGATCTTGATCTTCTTCTTGAGCATCATCGTCATCGTCGTCATCATCGTCATCATCATCATCATCATCCTCATCATCCTCTGTCTCAAAATCAGATTATGCAACACCTTCTAAATTTGATTCGCGAATTTCAGTTAGATCTACATCTATCATTGCTCCACATGGATCTCGTAGAGTAGGAATGTTATATTCCTCAGTTTGAACCGCGTTACAAACTTCCTCTTGTTGATATGCTGTATCCTTCCAGTGTTCCTCGATTTTTCTTCGTGCTTTGGTTTTACATACAGCCCACCAATCAGCTTTGTCACGTTTCAAACTAGGATATGATGCATAATATACTTGAATTGCTTGTTGTGCCAACACAAATGGTTCATATTTCTTATACCTTTTCTTGTGATTTATTTCAACCAAATTAAACTTCGTATGCACCTTCATTCCTTTGACGGGGTTGAACCACATGCACTTAAATAACACAACCCGCATTAATGGTCCGGGGTACTCTATCTCGATGATTTCATCCAACAAGCCATAAAAATCATCTTTTGAACTACCACAATTGGATGACCGAACACACACACCACTATTCATTGTGGCTTTTCCCATTCCATATTCTTGAGTGTGAAAATTATACCCGTTTATGAAATATGCTGGCCAAGTTCGTATGCTTGACTGTGCACCCCATGACAGATAATATAGCAATCCTTGCTCTTCAACTTGATCATGATTACTGTGAACCTAAGATTACACACGCAAAGTCAATAATATATATTTAAATGATGTATAAAATATTAATAACTTGATTTTGGTCTATAGGCAACTTACATATGTTTTGAACCATGCTGCAAATTGTTCATCGCACAAACGGTCGAACTCATTTGGCGGTAGTCCATACATTGAATTTTGAAAAATCCTATTAACAATTTACATTTATATATTAGTAAATATTTGACACGCAATACATATATTTACAAATATACACTTACCGGAAGTATGGCTCCACTTCCGGACGGACGTTCAAAAATATAGGTATGGGTTGCCCGCCGTTCTTCGCCCTGTTAAGCAACGAAACCGACATGCGCCGCTTGGTCGACCAAGATAATTGAAAATAGAGAATGATTTGCAATTGGGATCGATGGGACCTTCATCATTTCTTCCTGCTCTTCGCCTCTTGCACTGCACGTGCGGCTCAAATTAGTATGATGCAAATATTGTCACTTCTTCCACAATATATGCATTACAAATTGAAGCTTCAATACATGCCTTATTCTTCACTTTTTTCTTCAAATGATATAAGAACCTTGTTGCAATAGAAAGAAGTTTATCAGAACATAATATATAATAAAGTATTTTGAAATTTATTTTGAAAATTTTTTTACCTCTCAAATGGATACATCCATCGAAATTGGACGGAACCTGCAACTTTGGCCTCATAAGGCAAGTGAACTAAGAGATGCTCCATTGAATAAAAAAACGATGGAGGAAATATCCTTTCTAAATTGCAAAGAATAATTGGAATGTCTCTCTCCAGTTTCTCCATGTGTGATGCTTTTAACACTGTTGAGCAAATATCATGAAGGAAATTACTTAACTCTGTAATGGCGCCCCATACAAAATTTGGTAGAAGTTCCTTCAAAGCTATTGGAATTAGTCTTTCCATAAATATGTGACAATCATGACTCTTTAATCCTGTCAACTTGCATTCGTTCAAATCAACATATCTCCCGATGTTCGAAGCATATCCATCAGGAAACCGCACAGATTTCAACAATTGACAAACGACTCGTCTCTGCTCCTTATCCAATGTATAAACTGCTTTTGATTTTGGTCCCCTGCTGCTTGCATCTACATCTAATGTTGGTCGATCACAAATATTTCTCATATCTTTTCTTACATTCAAGTTATCTTTTATTTTTCCCGTGACATCCATCACAGTATTTATGACATTGTCGAAAACATTCTTTTCAATGTGCATGGCGTCAAGATTATGATGAATAAGATGGGCCTTCCAATATGGTAGATCCCAAAATATACTGCGTTTAGTCCACTTATGTACACTTCCGTACGCAATAGTTGTGCCATGAGGGTTTTCAACAACAGTTGGAAAGTCATGCACTTGCTCCCATATTTGATCACCGGTCAACCTCAATGGTGGAGGAGTTCTTTCAATCCTATTCTTGATGAACTCTTTTTTATTCCTTCTGAATGTATGATTCATCGGCAAAAATTGTCTCAGGGATAGTCAAAATAGCAGGGGCTTCTTACCATGTCTTAATCTGAATGACTTCGATCTCGCAAACATATCGGGCATCCTAAGATCCCAGCTTATACTCCATCCGCATAACATTCCATATGCCGGAAAGTCATTTATCGTCCAAAGAAGAGCAGCCTTCATTACAAATGTTTGATTAGTAGAAACATCATACGTAATCTAACCTTCATTCCATAGCCGTTGTAACTCTTCAATCAATGGTTGCATATAAACATCTATCAACTTTTTCGGATTTTGCGGGCCGGTCACGATCAATGTCAAAAACATATAAGGTGTCTTCATGCACATACCGAGTGGAAGATTGTACGGAGTTAAGATAACTAGCCAACATGAATAACTTTTCCCTGATTTTCCAAATGGGGCAAATCCATCAGCACAGAGACCTAACCTGATGTTTCGAGGCTCTATCGCAAACTCAGGGTATGTTCTATCAAAATGTTTCCATGCCTCTGCATCTGAAGGATGACACATTAGACCCTCTTCTGTTTCATGATTTGCATGCCAAGTCATGTGTTCAGCAGTGGCTTGAGACGCATAAAGCCTTTGCAATCTAGGGATTAAGGGTAGATAAAACATTTGCTTGCATGGTCTACGCTTCTGATTACGACCATGCCTCCTGTTTATCTTGTACCTAGGTTGGCTACAGAATTTGCAAGATTCTGCATTTTCATCATCTCTCCAATATAACATACAACCCCTACTACATATATCAATCCTTTCAACTGGAAGACCTAAGTTATCCACTAACTTCTTCATATCGTAAAAATCACTTGGCATGATGTTATCACGAGGCATTGTTTCTCGCATTACTTCAACAAAAGAGTTAAAGCAATTTTCAGACACATTATTCTTTGCCTTAATATTTAACAATCTTGTCACACTTGATAACTCGAGTATGGTTGTCACAACCTCGCCCATAAAGGTTCATCTCGTCGCTTTCAACACTTCCTTAACCGATTAGATGGAAACGTTTCATTACACACATTCTCATCAAAACCTGTTACTCCTATCTCTTCCAATTGTTCAAGTGTAGGAGTAAAACTAGTACTTGTACTTGCATGGTTCGGATCTGAAACAACATTCTGACCAACTGCATCAATCACCATCCTCTGGTATGGGTTCAATTGGTCATAATAGCTACATTCTTTCCTAACTGAAAATTGGTCACTTATTCGCAAACCTTCATCAGATATAAATGGTTCACCATGACAAGTCCAATTATAGTAGTTCGGAGTAAACCCAAATCTACAAAGATGTTCTCTAACTGTATCACACACATGAAATTTACCATTACTGCACTTCCTACACGGACACATTTACTTATTTCCATCCATTAACTCATATTTACTATTAGCAAAGTCCAAAAATAGTTCCAATCCAGTACGAAACTCATCGGTCAATCCTAGACGTCCAGGTAAGTTCTTATTATACATCCAAGCCCTGTCTCTTTGCATTGTGTCTATATAAAAATAACAAAATCTCGTAAAATATTAAAACCAAAAAATTTTCTTAATTAAAACCATAAAATTCTAAAAATTAAATTTTTTTTTGCCAAAAACAATGACTTTGAAATTGAAAAAATAAAACAATTACCATGTCAAGAAGACTTACCCAAGTATTTGATGAAATCTTTGTAGTAGAAAGTGCTCAATTTGATGAGAATTGCAACGTTCACTTCATCTGCGAGACTTTCAAACGGATAAGTACCTACAAAAAAAAAAATTGACTTCAGATTTTATTTTTTTATAATAATTTTTTTTGCCGAATTTTTTTTTAAATAAATATTTTTTTCGAATTTTTTTTTCCCGAATTTTTTTTTCCTAAATATTTTTCTCCGGTCGCCGGTCCGGCGACCTGCTGAGGCCGGCGAGTTGGACCTCGCCGGCCATGGACGAGGTCACTTCGCCGGCCAAATCTGGGCGGCGAGGTCGAGCTTGGGCCTCGCCATGGCCGCCGTTGGACCTCGCGGCGGCCATGTTGGACCTCTGCGGCGAGGTCGAGCAGCGGCCATGGCGAGGCCGAGCGGCCTCGCCCGGATCCGGACGAGGTCCAGCAGCCTCGCCATGGCCGGCGAGGTCTCACTGCCGCCGGGTGCCGCCGGTCCGCCGTGACTCGTGACCGCGACGAAGTTAGAAAAAAAAAAGAGAAGAAAAAAACTCAATAAAATAACAAAAATTCGTCAATAGTTTTGCAACGAACCGTCTTCGTCGCAAATTAGTCACGCCACTTACCGGTAGAAAAGGTTTACCGAGACAGATTTTTGCGCATGCGGAGAGATTTATCGAGAGAAATGAAAGAGGGAGAGGAAGGGAGAACAGCGAAGAGGGATAAGAGGAATTAGCAGGGAGAGAGAGAAATTGGGTCTACAAGTAGCACGGACAATTAGCGACGAAAAAAATCCGTTGCTAACTCCCTCGCAAATTAGCTACGAATTTTTTTTCGTCTCAAATTCCGTTGCAAATTAGCGACGGATTTTTTTCGTGGCAAATCCCTTCGCAAATTAGCGACGAAATTTTTTTTCATTGCAAATTAACAACGGAAAAAAATTCGTCGTTAATTCCGTCGCAAATTAGCGACAACATTTTTTTTTGTCGCAAATTAGAAACGGAAAAAAATTCGTCGCTAATTTCGTCGCAAATTTGCCACGAATTTATTTTCGTGGCAAATTCCATCGCAAATTAGCCACGAATTTTTTTCGTGGCAAATTCCGTCGCAAATTAGCCATGGATTTTTTTTCGTCGCAAAATTCGTCGGAAATTTGTGACGAATTCTTTTTTCGTCGCTAATTTGCGACAATTCTTTTTTCGTCGCTAATTTGCGACGAATAATTTTTCGTGCCTAATTTGCTACGGAAAAAATTGTCGCAAATTAGCCACGAAAAAATAATTCGTCGCAAATTTCCGTGGCTAAATCCTTGTTTTTTGTAGTGCAAGATTTTGCCAACAGCTCGCACAACTCTTCCTTGTCGACTTGATCGCGGGAGGCTCGAACTCTCTAGATCTCGCGAGGTCGAGCCTCCCGCCTCGCCCACCAACGACAAATGTGTAATAAGTTTATAACTTTTTGATAATTTCTCCTCCGAACAGATCCGGATAAAAACTCAAATAATTTATTCAGGCATTAAGGTAGGATATGATGCATAAATTAAATATGCAAAGGAAAAGTCGGAGAACGGCTTTGTCTATTCTTCTTAGTGCCCTACAGCAGGAGTTGTGCTGCCTTGTTCGGTGCACCTCTTAAATTTAGTCGTGTGATCTCTCTGTCTCTCTCTATGTTAAGGCTGTCGAAACTTAGACCGAAGCTACTGTAGTAGTCATTGTCGACTATGTTGACCACAACAGGGCCATGTTAGTTAGGGTTTCTTATATTCATTTGACCATTTTGAGTTATCAATAAATTTCCTCGCTCTTGGATTCACGTAAATTCAACATTCCATCCCGCCCCTGTCGATGCATTTTGTGGTCTAGCGTGAACCATGGAGCAATCTCGATCACTCTCCAATTGTTTTTGGTTCGGATAAGAGTTTTCGTTAACAATAGTAAATTAGTATTGATGCAAATAGATTTTCTATTGTATAATCTCGGACCAATATCCTAGAAAACTTTCTCCCTTTGGTATATTTTTCCACAATCCCCAGCATGTACATATTATGGTTAAATAATATTACCTCAATGGACAAAAATTCGGGTAC